TGTGCACGCCCATGGGACAGGAAGGAGACGACTGTCACCCCATGAGTCACAAGGTGAGATTTTCTCCTGCAGTCTGACCTCTCTGCTCTCCAGTCTCACCTTTGATGCCTCACATAACCATCGATTCGTCTCCATGCAGCGATGTCACGGTGGTGATGATGCAGGTCGTGTCTCGAATGAGCTGATCCTTTGCAGCAGAGAGTTTTCTGTTAATGAGGTTTTGTAAAGCTAAAACTGAGGTAGTCAGTTGTGATCACTTTCAAAGCACCTAGACCCTCCCCTTTCCCACGTCACACAGGAGACAGTTAATAAGAACTCCTCTGTCTTGTGTCTCCGTCCATTATACCTGATGAACATGAAGCATATCTCGTATCAGAAGTGTCTCCCTTTCTGCTGCCAGGTTCCTTTCTTTGGGAAAAGACTCCACCACACTTGCCCCTGTCTGCCCAACCTGTCGTGTATCACCATAGAAGAGGGCAGATCCAAATGTCTGTCACCATACAAGTATCCAGACTTCTACCTCTGAGGACCAACACAGCAGTTTGCTACCTGCACTGTAACTAGTTTTATCTGCCTTTAAAAGCCTGTTTCCACTTTTTAATTTATTTTGAATAAAGAGATATATTTAATAATGTGTCATCATTTTGATTCAACTTAATTAAACTGTAGATTTAAAGGAAAATCTGAGTTTGGCCATCAGGTGGGGAAAGACGACTGCACCCTGCTGTTCATGATGATCGATGAGTGCTGCAACGGAGCCACTTTACGAGCTTGAATGGTTATTTCATTTACCTTTGCATAACATACTACATTTATGTCCTTAGATTCATATATATTTGCTTTGTTTGTTTCAGACATTGCACTTTAAAAATAGATATTCTGTACTCTGTTAAAAACAGATACCTCACAGTGAATGATAAACCAAAGAGCACAGCGGAAAAACACTATTTTAAAGTGGCTCATAATGAATAATTTCTCTGAATGGTTAGATTTTATTCAATATTATTATTTATACATTGTTTGACTTTTGAGTGCAATCAGAATATAAATAGAAAAAACCTTTTTCCTCATCTAGCATCTCATTTATAGCCATTAAGAATAATCATAACTCTACATCCTCTGTGTTACACTGGCTCACACAGTGATCTGCACGTAGAGTTTCTGGTGAGCTTTCAGCTGCCCTCTAGGGAAACATGAGGAGAAACACACATTATTTCACCGGTCGTAAAATGTACTAATTGGGTTATAGTTTCATTATCCACTCATAACCAAAAAGCAGATATGACAGTATTTTTTCATCCTCAATTGCTTGCATCCCCAGAGTACAAAAAGCAAAACTTTGAGAGCATTTTATGTAGTGTTAAAAGACGAGAGGAAACGAGTCTTCTATCAAATTCACCTTGGCAGCCGGTCTTCACAACACCAGGAAACAGTAAGACAGCGTGGAAATTGTTCACTGTCAGAATGTGATTCACTGCATTCGTTCAAGGCTCAAAGCTACAAATAGATTTATACAATTTATAAAGCAACAGCTCACATCAATCTTACACTTAGGTAATGGATATCAGTCCTCAGTGGCTGGAGACGTGATACATAGAAGCGTATATAGAAATACAAAGGGAACATATGTGCACCGGTAACATCTTAATGACTTCAGACAATTAGTTCTAATTTACTATAGCAGTGTAACAACATGCAACTTATGAAATAAGACTATTAAAAATGAATGATCGTGTCAACTACTGACCTGATTAGAGCTGAAGAAAGAAGTCAATTCATTGATAAGTTAATTGACAGGAAATTGGACATTGGATTCATTGTTACACCTGGTTCCAGCTTCCTAAAGGTGAGACTTTGCTGATTTTCTTAGTGTCCTTTGATGGAAAACTGGAAATCTACTGCGCCACAGTAACTAAGCAAACTCAATCTGCTGCTGAGGAAAGTGCGATACAGTCAAAAGCTCCAGAACAAGAAAGTATGTGGACCTTCGGTTGTTTTGTTGTTGAGATTGTTCTTTGGACTGTTGGTCGGACAAAACAAGCAATTTGAAGACATCACTGTGATGTATATTTTTTTCGCATTTTGTTGACATTTTATAGATCAAACGATTAAACATATAATCAAGAAAACTAATCATCAGTTTCATCAGTGATGAGCTGCAGTTAGACGAGTTGGATAGATATGATATCATACTAGAGCTCTGCTTGAGATTACAAGAAGATAACACACCTGAAGCTCCAACTGAACTGTCAGCAGTTAGAGTTGGATTGTGGGTAATATAGGCACTTTGACAAGGAAGAAGAATGTATGGAATAAAAAACATTTCTGTTGTGTTACGTTTGTCCATCATGAGTACAAAAATGTTAAAGGAGTGCAACGCTTAATGGATGGAGATCTCTCTAAATTTGATCATTTCCTATCAATGCAAAGTTAATAACAGCTCAGAATTTTTGGATAACTATCCCAGTCTATTTCTGACTGTCCAAACTGTATTTTAAGGAAAACCCAATGAGGAGGACCAAGGTTGTCATTGTAGCTCAGTGGACTGAGGGAAAGGTCACTGTGAGAGCCAGCAGTAAAATCCCAGCAATAAGAATCCCATTTCCCCAGCATCACCCAGCATCACAGCGAGAGCCTGCATGCCCTGAAGACAACACGATGTACCAAAAATACCCGACCTGCATCTGCATTGCACGAGAGCACGTGCAGGTGAGCATCCTCCCGCAGCCGAGGAGCCACAGCAAATTACACCGCTGGTAACAGAGCGCAGCCAGCTGTCAGGAACAAGCAGGCGTGTTTTGATGCTAATGGTTATGGATGCACCGAGGGCAGACAGTGTGCTGAGGAGCTCGGGGTTGTGCGGCAGATCAGAGTGACGGAGGGGGCCCGAGCTCAGAAACACCTCGCTAAGTCACAATGATTTAAGTGTGTACTGAGGGAAGTGCTCAGTCTTTAAAAGGTGCAGTTTGGTGTACTCCAGGTCAGTGTCAATGAATGCAGCAGCAACTGGCTGCATCAGTAACCTGCTACTGGCCTCAGGAGGGAGGAGGGGACTGGAGTTTGAGGGAGTCTGATTAAAAAGCAGGTTGCACAGAAACAGCCTATTGGAACAAATAAATATATAAAGTAAAAACCACACCTTTAATCTTGATTCTAGGCAGACACGGATGACTCACCTGGGATATTTGTTATGTGCATGGTGCTGGCCTCACACTGACAACATGACATGACGCTGATATATTGTGTTTCCACCAGCTGTAATTAGCTTGACAGCAGAAGATTTTTCAGGGATATGAAACTCTTGTGGTGAATGTCAGGTTTGGCGTCAGGCTGTCAGAATCAAAGAGCAAATGTGTCTTCTCAGATTCTCAATTTTATCCATCTGTTCAACAACACAGATACAAGGCGCAGGGCCATAAGCAGGGTTTCAAAATACAGTTACGAGTCCAAGTCCCCCAATGTGTCCACAGTCTGTGAGAAGTTCATATTTTTTAAGCAGTTCATAGCTAATTAGTTATCTAACTTTATTCCCCAACATGAAGGTCTAAATGCTGTTTCAAGGCCCTTTTCACACTGCATGAATAAAGATTTGTTGGGTAAATACCAAATGTCTTTTAATGTATTTGTTAATTCAAAAATAGTGAAACTTAAATATATTAAGTATAAAAATACTGGAATCAACCTAAAATATACCAAACACATGCATATTTAATCATATGTAAGGTTATTAAAGGGACACCAATTTGACACATTCAGTACAGTTTACTGATGATTTTATCTCAGCTTGGGCTTGAGACTTTAAACTTTTAACAGAAAGCCTGAATTTCTATCTGGAGGGTTTGAAAGAAGTGCAGATTTCAGAGGCAAGGAGGGGCTGTTGAAAAATGCTATTCAGTTTCATTATGGGAAATGTAGACTTTGGGAACTTCACCCATTCAAGAGACTAAAAATAAAACTTTCATGGTGTCTGCTGCTTTAATATTGACCATTCTTTGTTGAAGTTGTCCCTTGTTATGGAAGTGCATTTGTAAATCTCTGGAGTGCCCCTTTAAAACCCCTATAAACTCTCAGAATAAATACCAAGAAAGTGAGCTCTGTGTCCTTGTAGCTACAGGCCTGACTAGGGGGGAATGCACTTTATAAACACTAAGGTACCACTGTCTGTTGCAGGGTGCAGCTCTCACTTTTTCTCAACTGGAAAATCTTTAAACATGTTTCTTATCCTCTCCATTTAAAGTCCACAGCTGAACGCAACACGCTCACACCTATCCTCAGGGGGCTGTCAGGCACCAGGAAACATGAGAAATCACTGACCAGCATGCTGACAGAACAATATAGATACCCAAGAGTGGCATAACCTGAGATGCATGCAAGAGCAGAGCCAAATCAAGTGAAGATATCTTATTAAAAACAGATGATAGAGTCCAAAACAACTTATCATCCATTTCTCATTTATTTTCTAAGAAATACAAACAATGCAAACATCCTTTCCAAAGCACCAAATTGTTAACATTTTTCCCAATGTCCATATTTGTAGAAAAATGAGACCTGTTATCTATGTAGCCTGCAGGGAATGTGAATCGACCCATTTCTCAACACAACTGACCCATAACGGTGAGTAAGAATTAGCAAAATACCTTTAAAGTGGGTTTTAATACTTTGTTCAACACAAAGAATTTGAAGAGATTATGAAACATACAACATAGCTGGTTTAAAAAAAAAAACAAAAAGCATGAGGAAAGAGGGAATGGGGCTTTACAGTATTTACAAATGTGACATTGTCCTAATTAAAAATATATGAGATCTGTATCTCATTTTTGGAACTGAAATGATTTGTAACCAAGTATGTCGCAGATGTCAAAGACACAGACTCCAACCAACTGATGAAATAATTCTGTTGTGTTTCGGTCATCAGTTCTGCAGAAGGCAAACAACCTCAAGACAGGTGTATTGTAGTATAATTTCAAAATATACAAACAAATAGCCAAAATGACATTCATGTACAATATAGTAGTGGACCAAAATAGTTTGATATACAGCCTATATAGGGAAAAAGTCTCCAAACATAGGACATAACATGACACATGGCCTGTTTGTCATGTGGGCTATATCCTATATTTGGATTGAATGTCACCTACAGTACATGCAGAGGTGTAAATCAAAACGTGGCTTAATCATGATGCCCAGTTGGTGAGGCAGTCAACCTCAAACACATCATATAAAAGCATCACATTATGCTTCTGTGCCTTCATATGCCTCATAGCTTTTATCAGTCTGGTTCTGATAAGCAAAATATAGTAAGAAATTAACACCATAGTGTTTTTAATCAGATTTAAATAGTAAACTCTTTGCCACAAATAAAACATGTGGGTAAACTGAACTGAAGTGGGCTCAGCCTCCACAAAATCCCGTTTTGGGGACCAGTCTACATTCTGGGGAAAGATACAAATGTGTCTTTGGCAGTATCCGGGGGCCGGTGCGGTTCAGATGACACAGTATGGCTCCATGGGTGTCTGTGTGCCCAGGCAGCAGGGGAAACACGCTCTGAGCCGCATCCGGAGCTCCTTGTTGAACAGGAAGCTGATGATGGGGTTCGCTCCCGCCTGGGCGAAGCTCATCCACACCGCAGCGGTCAGGTAGAGCTGCGGGACCGAAGCCGCCCGCACAAATATTCTCAGGTAGCAGGCGCTTATATAGGGAGCCCACAGGATGAGGAAGGTCAGTGTGATCATGTAGTACATCTTCCCGATGCGCTTCTCCATCTTAAACTCGTCCAGCACCAGCAGCCTCCTGTTGCCGGGGTGGGAAGCTTGCCTGATGCCGACCAGCGTCGGCGGGGTGGGTCCGCGGCCGAAGCCGGCGATCCAGTTGGCGGCGGCCTGCCCGGTGGCTCCGGGGCCGTGAAAGGTCCAGTTCTGGCTGATGGCCGGGACCAGCTGGGCCGGCTTCATTTTACGGTGATCGTAGACGAAGCACAGCATCTTTATGTAAACCACATGGGTCGTGCCCACGATGACGGCCAGCATCAGCATGAAGCCCAGAGTGTCGTTCGCTTTCACGTAGCGGTGCTCGAAGATGCACTGCTCCTCCTCACGGATGAACTTGTAGGTGCCAACGTCGAAGACCGGGGGGAAAGCCATGGCCACGGAGAGAGTCCACACCATGCAGATCACCGCCACGCACGTACACAGATTCATCCGCTTGGAGTAAAACCTGTGGTGGGCGATCGCCATGTACCGGGTGACGCTGACGCAGAAGAGCAGGAAGGCGACGTGGAAGCAGAAGAGCACCGACATGAAGGCGACGATCTTGCAGCTGAGCGCGCTGTACGGCCAAGAGGAGCCGCCGCTGATCGACGCCATCACGAAGGGGAAACATACGGCAGAGCGGACCACGTCTGCCAGGCACAGGTCCAGGAGGAAATAGTAAGGAGCCTTGTGCAGCGAGCTGTCCTTCAGCAGCAGCAGCGACAGCGACGCGTTGCCCAGCAGGCTGATGCCCATGATTAGACCCAGGGAGGCCAGCTTGACCGCAGAGGCCATGGACGCATAGTTGTGGAAGGACGGGCTGCTCTCCCCAAACTCACTTGTGTTTGCCATCTATGCAGCCGAGGTAGCGTGTATTCCCACATCAATTCACCGACGAACGGTAGTATCCTGCCAGGGCTGAATGGAAATCAACCATCAACACGATCCACCGCCCCTTTGAACAGAAAAAACCAGTCAGGAATAAATTCCACTCATAAGCATCCGTTCAACGTCGGATCACATCCATCCCGATGTGCACTGATCCCCACCAGAAAAACAAAACAAAAAAAAAAACAAACACAAATCATTCACTATTTCTTCTTTTTCTTCTTATCCTTCATCTCACAAGTGTCCGGCACAGAAAGCATCCCTGTCTGTTGACCCAGCCTGTGCTGAACAGAGACAACCCGGCTTGGGTTCACACACCATCTCGGAAGGCATCCGTTCAGCAGACGAGCGGCTCAGAAAACACATCTCAATTTCCACTGATGGCGGAGGTCTCCCGTTCGTCTCGAGGAATAAAAAAGCAGGCGGTGTGGAGCGGAAGCATGGCGCAATTACGCACCCGCAGCCTCAGCCGCGACAGCTACAATATTAGTTCTATGGCTGCGTAGCCTGCAAAAGCAAACATGTTAGTAAGAAGCCGATGGGGAGGTCGGAAGCTCGCAGGGGTGGAAGCGACCGCACGGGTCTATCACACACAGCAGCTACAGCAGCGTCTCGCCTATGCGACGCACGTCCGCTTGCATGTAGTGAGTGAGCAGGCCTGGGATCAGTCAGCAGCCTCATCCGCCGGTCCCTGTCTATTGAAATGTATAGGAAATCTGTCTCCCTTCACTAGTGAGATGCAAATGTTGACGGATTGACAGAGATGCCCGCTAACACTTGACAACATTAAACGCTACACCATCCAAGTTACAGCAGCTTATAAAAACAAGTTTGATCAGAAAGATATCACAGAAATAGGAGTATGAAATGCCACAAGTGTTCATTGTTAATTAATGTCAATTTGTTGTCTTTATTATTCCAAGAAAAAAAAAATTAAAACACAATATACATATAGAGAAGAGGAGATACTATGTTAACATCTCTTTAATGGGATCAATTCATTTTATGTAAGAGATTTAAGAGCCAACAGTGTGGGTTCAGATAAGGTAGCGGGTTGCATAATACAACAGCAGTGTGCAGAGTGGTTTCTAAGAAGAATCAGCAGAGGCAAAGTGGTTCTGACAAAGGAGGTTAAAGATGATGCCTTTACAGAAATGTCAGTGGGTTTGACAAGTGTCTTGAGAACAGCTGAAGACAGAGGGTTCCCTGTTGTCTCTGAAAGCACTGCCTGACTCCAACACGACTCTGAGGATAAATTAAATTCAGTCTCAAATAGTCGAGAACATGTTATATTAATATGTTAAAGATCTCTTGCTCTCAGCAGGACTTTGAATTACAGTTGACATCATGTGACAAGGCTGCTGCTGCTGCTGCTGCTGCTGCAGTGATTCACCAGCACCCCCTGCAGTCTGCTCCATGCAGCATCCAGAGCATGAGAAATCAGACACATAAGCCTTCACAGCTGTCTCACAGACAAATATTGGCCTTGTTGGGAGAATTAATGTGCGTATTGGGAACAAAAACGAAACCACAACTGACCGGAACCAAGGTCCAAGTTGGTTGGGTTTGGCATTGAGGTTAGACGTGTATGCTTTTGGAGTCCTATGGTCTAATTTCTTCGATGTGAAACCATAATTGTTATCTTTGGCTTTTTTTAAAAACAGGATCTTGGATGATGAACAGCTGAGATCAGCTGATATTTAGATTGAGCTTTTTTAAATTATGTATTATTAGTGAGCTTTGAAATCTCACTTCCTGCTTGCTTGATGCCCAAAGAACAAATAATATAACACTTTGGCAAAATAAAATATCTACTCACTAGTATGGAATTTTATGACTAGAACATTCACATTTCTTTAAATTTGAGTCTGTACATTAATAGGCCCATTAATGCTTGATCATTTCCCTACACATAGACAGATCTCTCTGTGTAGGGGGCTCCACCAACAACTTTTGTTGGAGCTTGCAAAGTACTCAAACCAAGTGCCCTAAAACAGGCAACCAGACTGAAGATAGTGTAATAAGATGCCTCACTCGTGAGAAAAACGTGCACATTTCCTGGTCTGCACAAATGGCAATCACTCATTGCTTCACTCCACATTCACCATCCCACAAAATGTATATACTAGGTCAGGTCAGAGAGAAAACACACATTAAATGCACTATAAATATGTACTGTATACAATCTGAAGAAGCTGCTCCACATGTTAAGCAGAGACATTCCTCCAAGGATTATATTCTAGCAGAGCAGAACTTTCTCTTTGTTGATGATAAAAGACACAATTGCATTAAAATCCACAAAGACGTAATCAATTGTCAACCTCTGTGGAAACCAGGACTAGGTCGATTTTTCATTCAATTGTGCCCTGGTAAATAAATTGTTGCAGCCGTGTTCTGCCATTATTTAATATCTGTGAATAAAAAAAGCTGGAATAATCAAAACAGAAAAGAAATCTAAAAAAATAATTGTGGGACAATAATGATTACAAAATTAATTCAGAATCAGAATTAACTTTATTGGTCAAGTATGTTCAGCACAGCACGGATATATTATGCATTAATACAGCTATTTTTGTTACTAATTGGTCGATACAGATATGTGATAAGGAAAACATCAGCTGATATCACTGTCTGGTCAATTTGTAGACAAAATTTAAAAGCTACCGCCATCAACTGCTTGTGTGGTTCTTTTTTAGTCTCGTGGTTTGACATAATTAATCATGTTTACAGTTCAGTATACTTTCATGATGCCCGATGGCTGGTTTGTGATCTGCTACTCGAAAATCAAGCAGAGTGATACTCCACCTTCCTTTCCTGCTCTCTGGAATGGACCAACGACGACGTATCTGCCCGGTGACGCAGAGACGTCACCAGGCGGTAGGCGGAAAAGCGGTGTGTTTCTGTATCTGGAGATAAAGCCAAACCGGGTGTATTTTTTTGGAGGTTCATACAGGGACCATATAAAGGTTTAGCTTTGTGCCTGCTGAAATGGCGGTTCCAGCGGGTCAGACAGGTCTACAGATGGACAGAGGCGCCCTGAGCGGCCAGACAGTTTCCTCTGAAAGCAACATTGACATCGACGAGAAAGAGTTGGAAAATATCACAAAGAAACACCGAGAAGACGATACGACAACGCTGCCTCTGCACTCACCTTGGACGTTTTGGCTGGACAGGTAAACTATTTCCTTTCTTCCATGTTGTCGTTGAGTTTAGAGCCCGGGGACGAGCAGGAATGAGGGAGAAAAAATATCATTGAAGGCCACAGTTCTCCGCAGGCCTCCAGGAGCAAATGTAGCGGGAGAATGTTTGCGTTTAACATGACCTCCTTTTTTTTCTGTTTTTCTTACATTACCGTGTCTGACACCACAGAAAAGTTATAATTCTCACGGCTCTGCTGTTATTCAAGGTAATGACTCCTAAGCAAAAAGGTGGGCATGTTAACCGTGTCCTTTGTTTTGATATCAAACATTCTAGTGAAATTACTGAAGCTCTGTTTCTCTGCAGGGGAGCCGAGAGGGTTTGGGTGAAATCGAGACGGTATTCATTTTGTAAAAAGTAGCACAGTCAAAGAATACAGGCTTCACTTTTCCACGTCAGTCTGTCATACATCGTATCCTTGCTTGGGACACTTGTTTATCAAAATAAGAATGCATGATGCTAAGTGTCTTTTAGACATTTCATTAAAATACACCCTGAATGTCGTCTTCTCTTTTTTTGAGATCACAGAGCTGTTGTTTGTCGTGTACTCTTTGTTAATTGTTTTATAGGTTGCCATGGAGCAAAGGTTTCTGAAGGTTGGATGACTGAGGTTTCATTTGATATAGATAGATAGATAGATAGATAGATAGATAGATAGATAGATAGATAGATAGATAGATAGATAGATACTTTATTTATCCCCAAGGGGAAATTCATGTATATTTGTCATCTTTTATGTATTTGAAAGGAGTGTTATATTAATAAAATAACCTCCCAGACCACAGACCCTATCGAGACTGAAACAATAATGGTCAATTAACTAATTAGCTGATTAACTGAATAACTAATCTGCAACAATGTATTGATGATTACAGCTGTTTTATGTTTGGGTTTAGGACAATTGGTCTGACATAAGACATTTTAAGACTTGTGATAGCCATTTCCCACTATTTCTGACATTAAATATGCTAAACAAACAGTTAATAGTGAAAAATAATCAACAGTTAAATCAATAATTAAAGCTATATATATATATATATATATATATATATATCCAGCATATAATCTATATAGGCATGCAGATAGACTACATGAGTAATCAGAGGTATGGATTTTACTAAACCTCTCTCCCTCTCAGAGGAAAACTCTGTTCCAAAATTATTCAGTAGTGCAAGTGTTGTAGATTAAATTTTAAATACATAATCAGTCATCAATATAAACTCAATGATCCACACGGACAGAGTGAAAACGTGCTTTTAGAAATTTATTATAAAATCAAAAACTTAATGTGTGTGTGTGTGTGTGTGTGTGTGTGTGTGTGTGTGTGTGTGTGTGTGTGTGTGTGTGTGTGTGTGTGAGAGAGTGTGTGAGTGAGTGTGTGAGAGAGTGTGAGAGAGAGAGAGAGCAGCACACATTGTCAGCTCGTATCATCATCTTCTGTTGGCTGAGACAGTTTTCACTTGTTCTTCCAGGTCATTACCAGGCACGACGGCTGCAGAATGTGAATCCAATCTGAAGAAGATCTACACGGTGCAAACTGTTCAGGTGAGATTTAGTGTCAGCTTAAAGAGCTTCATCATCTTAAGAGCAAAGAGATCAAGTGCATGACTTGGCTAAGAGTCAGATTCACTTGAGCAGAGCTTCATTGATGCCAGGGAATAAGCAGCTCATTGGCACTTAAAGCAACAGTAGGTGCAAATTATGGGAAAAAATATCAAACCATTTTATCATGGAACATGTGTGTGTAGTGCACAATTTATTGCAGCCATATTACATCAGATTTTTCTAGTGAAATTCTGCTGATTGAGTGATCTGTATGTTACAGTGCATACATTACTGCCTTTTGATGTGATGCTCTGATGATTTGTGTAAAGGAAAGTAAAGACACAGTTCCTGTAATGTTTTCATGGGGACTTTCAGCTTGTAAACTAAACAGAAGTTTGTCCCATCAAATTCCAAAACAAAAGGATTGAACCCTGCTTTCTGCCAATTAATTGACAGATGTTTTAATATAAAGATGGACACAATACAACACCCAAAATGGTTCTAGGAAGACTGCTGTTTATTTTTCAGGCTGTTATTTAAATTTACATTGTCAGTGTTTCTGAAATTTGAATAAATAAACAATTTGAGATTTTAAAATTTAAAGGGTTATCTAATTTTCATGTTGAACTAAATTTAATCACAATGTTTTAATCATTCAGCAGCTGAACACACTCGTACAATGGAAATATTGTTCAGAAAGTTTGCCCCAAACACTGTTGCAGAAGTTCCCACTAATGTCTTGCTCTTGTAGTTTGCTTTGCTTTCACTTTCTGTCCAGTTCATCCCAAACCAGCTCCATGGGTTTTGAGTCTGGTGCTGGTCTTGTTGTCTGGTGTTTGCCTTAAGCTAGTGTTATACTTTGTGCACTGTGTGAGTACACAAGGGTCCGCGTGATGTACATTTTGTCATCAGAGAGTGTATGCGAGGCTCTGTGCAGACGTCCGTGCAAACTCCAATTTGTTGTGTCCACACGGCCAATACAAGGGAGTCCACAAGCGAGTATAATTGAGGCCTTATATAGTTTGACCACCAGAGAGCACTGACAGGTTGATATTCCAAATGTAAAATGTCCTTCTCAGTATGTATCTTGGGGGAAAAAAAGCCAAACTAAGGAATTCATATCAAGATTGTTTACACTATGTGTTTTATTTAATGGCTGCTATCAGAGCTTTCTAATTTTTCCTAAATATCGACGTCAGCCTCAGCCTCAGAAAGGATTTATCAGTCAGACAATAGTCGGCATTACGTGTGTGTTTCTTTTGTTTGCAGATGTTCTGGAGTGTTTACAACAACATCCCTCCGGTCACAGCCCTGCCTTTGAGATGTAGCTATCATTTAATGCGTGGAGAGCGGAGGCCACTGTGGTGAGTCTGCTGTTATTGTAAATATTATGATTATTGTCCTTATCACTTGCTTGAACAGAGGGCATATTATAACTGTAGATCAGGCTGTTACTGCTATGAAATAACCTGTTAAAATAAAGATTTTCCTCCAGCTTCACTGGACATGGATGACTGATAATGTAACAATTACAATACAACAAAGGGATAAAATATATTTATTTCAGTGTGTAATAAAAGCTTGAATTGTTACATTGTCATACTTTGGAATCATTACATCATCATAACAGGACATTTAGTTAAAAATGTTGCATAATATTTGATGACCCATTTATTCTTATGATGTTGTTACTGTCCAGTAGTTTATTATAATTACAACAATTCAGATGGACATTTTTGTATTTTGACATCTTTTTACACTATCCAACAATTTCTCTATCTCTTATAATATATCATGTAAACGGATTCCTCTTCACAGTATCTACATTTTAAAAAAATCTTTTACTCTCCCAGGGAAGAAGAAAGCAATGCAAAAGGAGGAGTATGGAAGATGAAAATACCAAAAGAAAGCACCGTAGGTGTTGTGCTTTGTTTAGCTTCTTTATGCATTAAAGTATCACATATTAATAGAAATTTCTGAATTACTAATCACCTTTTCTTTGTTCGTGTTTCAGTCTGCAGTTTGGAAAGAGTTGTTACTTGCTACTATTGGGGAGCAGTTTGCAGATTACTGTGCCTCAGGTACAGTCCTTTGCTTTTTCCAAATATAGCTATTCTATTGATGTAAAATATATCTGCTGTTAACATCGGTGCTGTGTTTTTTCTTCTCCTTTTGTTTCCCAGATGATGAGGTTGTTGGTGTCAGTGTTAGTGTTCGAGATCGGGAGGATGTTGTACAGGTCTGGAATAAAGATGCATCTCTTGCTAACGAAGCAAATATCTTGGGAAAAGTCTATGAGCTGCTCCCGTGCATATCTTTTAAAGCTGTTTTTTATAAGTGTAAGTATGCCTATTTTTCCGCACTTTCATTTATCGTACCTTTTATTAAAAAAGTTTTAACTTTGCAGATGCTTCATCAGAAACTTGCTTATCATACAAGTGAGACTGTAGGAACAGATTGAACTATGCAAATTTGGAGGACACAGTTCCAGCCAGAGCATGTTGAGAGAGTGCCAGAGGAGGATTGGAGGAGTGTATGTGGCTGTAGGCTAATCAGGGCTTTATTGATGTTACAGAAAAGACAAAAACCCAATATTCCTTCATACCTGCTTCACATAACATAGTCACACACAGTAGGCCAGTCTTGTCACTACTTGCTAAATATTTGGTACCAAAATAACAAACTGTGGTGTTTATCTTGTGTTTGGTTTAAAGAATTGGGCTCAACTTGTACTTTGTAGCAACCTGAGACTGTTGAAAGATTTTTTTCAATTCAAAATTGAAGAAATTCTTTCTGTGATCAAGCCAGTCTAAACTGTCTTAACTGTGTCCTGAATGACCCTGAATGATTTATACTCATCGTGAATCACTTTGACTCTTCCAGCTCACATGGAACATCATGCCTTTGAGGGAGGACGCTCAAGACATTAGATTGTAATGCACTTTTTTTTAACCTTAACTCTATACCTGCCTTGATGTAAAAGCTCTGTCCACAACCTAATCAAGGATATTATTTTGCATTCAACAAGAAAATGTTATCAATATATTTTTATAGCTTTTAATGACTGATGCCTTGTTTCATTTTGATGTGGGTCCTAAAGCTCGAATGCATATATCCAGCATACATCTCATCCTGAGTTTGTTAATTCATGTTGGTTTTGACTTCCTGTACTGAACTGCACTGTCACAGTCCTGTACTCTGCACAGGTTATGGACCTCACAATTAATTCCTGGTATAGAGGTAGCAGATACATAATCTAGTATGTTTTAACTGTTCGATATGGTAGATATCTCAGCATCATGTTTTGATTAAGTCAGCTAATTCAGTGCCAAAGCACCTTTCTGCCATTTGAAGAAGTTTGTATGCTAATGTCAAAAGTGTTTTTATTCAGCTGGGGTTTTCAACTTCTGAGGATGGAGTGAATGTCCCATTCAGTTTTGTGAATTTGTACATCAAACTTAAATCAGGGTAACACTTGGAAATATTGCAAACGACTACCTATTCCAGTCACAGTGTCCATCAGTTCTAAAGCCATCATCTGGAATCAGAACATATTCCAGCACAGATATGGCCCTAAGAAACTTTAGATCTGGTTTCTAAGATGTTTTAAAGGGCAAAATCCATCCTGAAAGGTGCCTCTTTGAATGTTCCCAGCCACCCCACAGTTGACATTTCTTTCAATACACATGTTGAAAGCAGACCCTCTGCTCTCTAAGATGGAGTCACGGACTGTTTGGTGTATTACTCTGAAGAGATACTGCACATTTTTGTGCTCAAATAGTGGTGCTCCATAGTACTTGTCTGTACTTGTTTCACCTACCAATAAATCAAGTTTGCTTATTGGACTGTGTTCGTACAACCACAACACACTGAGAAAAATGTAGCAGCGTAATGTTATTAACGGAAGTAACACTGGGTCATGCTTCCCTTATTTAGCATTTATATATAGATGCATTATGTCAAATAATATATAGAGACAGTCAAATAAGACAGATGTGGCAAGTTTCAATAATCACTGAGTCAGTAGACTGATTCTTCATTGAACCATAATATACACTGACTTCAACTATTTGATCATAATAGAGAAACTAGAAACATTTTTCTATCCTTTCCAAATCTATTTTTTTCTGAGACTTCATCAAAAGGTCACCTTCACTAACATAGTTAGCACTTCCACTACACAATTTCTATTACTCTTGTTTTATTGCAGTGTAGGCTACCGTAAACTGAATGCTTCTGGCATTATTGTATCTCACACCACTTTTATAGTTCAACTTTGGACTGGTTGATAAAGTTATTCATAAGAGGTCCTTTGTAAACATTTTTTGCAGTGACATGGACAAAGTAAATAAAATGGAAAAGAACATTCTTATCTGTGTGTCTTCTTCTGCAAAATGCAATCATTAACAACAAATATCTGTTACAGGGCAGTGTAGTGTATGTGTTAATACCTCAGTGTTTCAGCATCTTCCACTTAAGCCAAGCCATTTTGTGCTGATTCATTCCAGTTGCACATTACACCCTTTGTGCTGTGTCAGTGTAATCAATGTGTAAGGCAAGACAGGAAATACCTCTCAAAGGAAAATTGTAAAGGTTAGGAAAACTGCAGCAATGGCTCTCCAACTGAAATAAGACATATTTTTGTCAGTGTGACAAAGTGAGTTTCCAGACCTCTAAAACTCACAGTTTTGTGTAAGTTTTTGATTTGTCTCACTTTGTTAATAGGTCTTTTTTACAACAGACATTTTTACTTGTAGGAGGAAAAGCACAGGTGTTACTAATAACATTAACAGTGGCTCCATTCCACACGTCCCACTAAGCAGTAATCCAGCATGCATAATATCAGGACCCTGCAGCTGAAGCAAAATATAATTCAACCGTAATTAATGTTTTTTACACCTGTAATTTTCCTGCTGTTTAAAGCTGCATTATTGTTGCATTTTTGGCGACTTGGATACAGCACAACAAGCTGTGAAAAGTGTTGTCATCACCTTACAAAGTTAGCATGGCTAATATGTAACATGTTAGCATTTGTCTTTTTGCACATCCAGCAGACATGGAGCAAAATTTATTTACACTAGTGTTTCTGGCCACCAGATAAAAGTAAGTCCATATTCACTGTTTTTTCTCTACTAGGTAATGTCTGGTTCGTTAGCTGATAAATTCCGCTCTATGATTAGGCTAATTGCTAACTTTGTTAGCTGGTGCTCGGTAGCTACTGGGTTTATCAGAGCTTTTTGCTGAAAACAGTTGCTGCTGCCTCTGGAAACAAAGTTCACCAGAGCAGAGAAGTTATGCATAATTGGGGGCATGGCTGCTTCAAGTGTCAGGTGGGTGGCCCTACAGTTGGCTTGCTGCTCGTCGTCACCTTAGCTACTTCTAGCTACTGACCAAGACCTCTCTGCAGCTTCTGTGGTGTTGGTGTCTGTGTCTGTCTGTGCTCCTGTATATTGAGGTGAGGGAAATTGTACTATATTAGTACCAATTACCAGGTATCGCTGTCAATGCTCACCATACCTTGCTTGTTAGCTTAGCTCCTTAACTAACTAATTAGCCAGCAAATGAATTAGCCTTGGGTTAGATCTTCGAACAAAGACACCCAGCTGTAGTAATGATACTAACAGGACCATGTGCTTGTCAGAGTTATTTGAACCTACCTGCACCGAAGTCTCGGCTCCACACACACCCCACCTCTTATTCCCATTTTTGGATTACCCGGGAGTTACCTGCCAAGGTGGTGGCAGCGGAGCAGCCCACTCTGAGTTTCAAAACCTGCTATTCAGAAGCCTCTGGGTGAAGGTAAGGAGGCTATGTCCGTACAGTCTGTGGTTGCGGTCATAAAACCAAAATAACTGACTGAAAGATACTATAACACTCTATAGATAGATGTGGGCTTTATGGGTATGTGTAACAAGCAACGCTTTTCATATTGCACATTATAGAAATATGATCTATAGATAGCTCCTGTGAACATTTGGAAATGTGGTTTTAATCAGATCACTAATGAGTCAGTATTGTAAAAACCCACCCAAGTAGACTCAACAGTGGTTTCTCATGTTTAAAGTTCCTCGCTGTAAATTCTCTACCCCTTTTAGTGAGCCTAGAATCACAGGATTCAAATGTTTTCACAGTAAATCTGACATAAACAAAACCAAACCAGACTTAAATCCAAACCACATAAAATAAGTTGTTTTGATCTCTTAACATGTCTGACAACTAAATACACAAGAGTTGACGTGAATGTCTCCTGTGCAGAGGCTGAGGGTGAGCAATTACATGAACAGCTTGCTTAGGTTTTAGAGTGCCTCTGTGTCCCCTGGGGTTATAAAATGCATTCAGAGGGCTTGTCAGTAATTTAGAAAAGCAGTGCAGAGTGCATCTAGCTCTGCTCTGCACTGATGATGCCTACACGGGGCTTTACATTCACAGCAAATTGAAATTGCAAAGAAAAAAAAAATGCCGTTATCGACCAGCACACTCACCATGTTAAAAACTTGATTGTATCCAGAGTCAAACATTATAAGGATTCACCAGCCAGGAGCTTGTGCAGTTCAGAAACATTGCTCTAATGATCAGAGGGAGGAAGAATAGCTGACTCTCCTAGCAGCAGCTACAAAGGAAAGCTTCTTGATCTTGGGTGAAATGCTCCCGTTCCTTTTTGATTTGCACTGATACACACATTGTTAAAGCCTTGGTGTCTCATTTAAAAATCAACACATCATTTAGACCTTGGACCTCAGTTAAAACCTAGCTGTCAATTATGTTATGTTATGAAACTATAATAGTTGTTGTTATTTCTGCTACAATCTAACTCTGCCATAATTCATTATCTGTGAGAATTGTATTAATGCCAAAAACAAAAGCTGTTTTGAGTTTATCACCTGCATTCTTATAAAATGAGGTAAGTGTTATGGCTTTACACTACACTCTGCAAATACTAAAAAGATGATGGTGGTCAAAGCTTGATGTTATTAGTTCTCATCATGGTAACGGTGACCTCATACTGATTTGTTATGACCACTGGCATTAAAAAAGCTGACAGCTGATTTTCCCAGCTCATGTTTGTATGCGTTTGGTCCTGTGACAAATTTGCAGTTACTATTGAAACTGTTTTAATAATTAATGTTAAAAATGACAACAAAATGTACACAAACACATTAAGGATTGCATACACACCACTGTGTATGGTGGTATCCTACACAAGTGGTTGGTCATACCTACATTAGCTCAAAATTATTTTTTCCCCTGTTTTTCTTTACGTCTGCACAAAGCTGTGTTAAAAAGGTACCAAGTGTGTATCTATGTGGGTATGATTATATACTTTGCATCTTAAGTTATGAGTGAGGTTACACAGAAACTTAGCTTTTCTAATGTGCCTGATAAAATTCAATAGCGGTGTAAAACGTCTCACACATCAAAGCAAGAGAAAGGTTATGTTACTGGAAAATGGACCCAGCACATTTGGATCATTCCAAAATATTCCAACAAATGCAAAAGAAAAATATTTTTCAACTAAACAACATGTAACAATGCAATCAACATTTCAGTGTTGTCTTGGACCTATTTCCATATTTACCACTAAGTAATGATACAAATTTTCACTTGCATACTTAAACAGTGTCATGCATCATGTATAATATAGTTTCGTTTACTGTAGTTACATAATATTTTGCATGTTGAACTGCTGGTGCATGGTGTCTGACACAGTGGACAAATAGTTAACATGTTCAACATGGCACTGAAAAAAAACAACAACATCTAGGCATAATTTGTATTGAAGTATTAAACTGAAAGAACGAGACATTTGTTATGTTTTTAGGTTTAACCACCGAAAAACATGTTTGTACTCTATGAAACATGAATGTTTGGCTCATAAATTTGGAATAAAAAAGCTTGGTGCAATCCTTTAATCTCAAGAACATCCTTTTAATGTTGTACACTGTAACTATGATTTTTTTTTTCAAGATTTAATATTTATTTATGTCTGTTACCTGAAAACAGAAGAATGCTATATCAATTACCCAGGTATATTCACAAAGCTAGAATGCAGCACAAGGTATCACAGTCTCTACTTTCTCTTCTTCTTTCACTCATTTAACGGTTCTTTACTGGTCATTATCTGTATAGCTTCTTCATGAGTCCCTTTCCTTTCATTACTTGTTGAATGCTACAGCCCCTAGCAGCAAGGGAAAAACACTGTATGAAAGCCATCCGTCCCCCTTTGGAAATCAAGAGGAGCTCCTATTCATTTGCTTAATTACCTAATTAACAGAAAGCTAATTACTTTGTTGTGTGCACGGGTACGTGTGGAGAGGCCGTTATGTAACTGATAGTGATCCTCAATTAATTTGCAACTACACTCCATCAAGTCAGGGCCTTAATCCACACGACACATCACCAGCGTGACACCGAAAGAACAGGATAATCAATTCAGACACAGACACATGGCTGTTGGGTTCTGCTGAGCTCATAGATCCAGTATTGACACGAAGATCAAGCCACTGGAGAGTTAGAAAGCTTAGATTATGTATTAGATTACCTTCATAACATTGTACATAGATTTTAATTTTTCTAATTAATTACAGCACACAATCATGTTTACAACCTTGTGAACAACTACAGTAATCCTATGAAAGACTGTAGGATTGGCTCATTATACAAGTCATAGAAAAAATTGCAAATCCTGTTAAGCATATAATGGGAATAATGTAGTTGTACCATGAGAGATAAAAGTTAATTATTTGACCAGTCGTACATAAAACCCAAGAAAAATGTTTTAGTTGTAGTTCATCAAAAGGTGAAATCTTTCACCTTCTGAGAGGTATCTGAATATTGTAAAAAAAAAATGTATTCTTAAAATTTTAATCATATAGTTCTTTCAGTTCTATTTATGGATGGATGTGAATACATGTGTGTCATGAGCCCTAATTCACATGTTTAAATCCAACTCTTTAGCTTCAGAGTTATCAGTTATCACTGTATTGCTCTTGCTTCCTGGACCCTAAGGCCATTAAACACAACACTGTGGTGGTAGGCCGTACTAATGTGAGTGGCTTTAGGCCACTTGCTACCATATATACAGGACAGTACATTTTTACAGTGGGAATATGGCATTGTTTTTAGCTTGCCGAATTTGAACTGTGGGATTGATGATATCCCTTCATTAAAAAAAGAGCACAGACATGCCACTGTAACAGTATGATTAATTAATTAATTATTGTTTATGATGTAATCACTTGTTACTTAAAGTTGTTTTTTCCAATTGTTTTCCTCCAAAACTCATATAAGGTCTTTACCTGTGGTGTATAAAAGGGCTTTTTTGTATTCACAGACTGAAGGTAACAAGAAAAAGTATGTTGTGTTTTCCTGTTGGGCTTTATTTTGTGTAACTATTGTGTCACATGAATTAAGACATGCAAAAGAATGAAGAAGGTTGTTTCTCTTAGTTTAATGTGACAGTTAGTGCAGTGTTGCTGTGTACAGTTCCCTGCAGAGCATAACCTTGTTTAATATTTAAGTGTCTTTTTTTTGATGAAAACGAAGACATGTCTGAAGCTTGATAAGGATTACATTTCTGTGCCAAGTGATCAATCACACATTTACAAGCAAAACAGTGCTAGCTCAGAGGACATCAGGTTAAAAGAAAAACATTAAACTGAGGCATGTTGCAATGACCACAACACAGTAACTGTGATCTGTGATTACTGTAGTAATTTATGTTTGGTACCTGTCATTGAGCAGTTACAGTAGCTCATGTGTAAAAACAGTATAAACATAAAGTGTAATAGGTTATGCTGAAAGATATAAATTCATTTTGAAAATGACATTTTTGGAACCTATAAAAATTATGAAAAATGTCTTTTAGGGATCTGTTATTATTAATTGTTATTTGAGAAGTTTACAGACATTATTGTTTTAATTTATAAGTCTGTTATACATCTTTAAAGACTGACTGACAAAACACCAATGCACTGAAGGGTTAAAGATATTATATTTTGTTTTTTAAAAAATGGTTTAGTGCCACAAGAGATGATTGTAAATGTAGAGTATGTAAAGTAATATAATCATAAACTCACACGCTACAGATAAAATGGTTATACTTTGGAAATATAGTCATTTTCTTGTGACAATACATGGTCAGAAGGTGGCGCTCTCTACTAAGAAACAGTCTTTTCTAAGAGGTTCATCAGCAGCATTCCTCCCAGATGCAGCCATGATAAATGTAATGTCGTTTATAGTGAAATGAGCTGTGCTTCTTAGACCTTGATCAAGGACAAAAAACGACTTAAAATATTTTCTCTTGAGGCTAAATTAATGTTGCTTTAAAATGAGTGTTAACTGGACTATTGAACTGGCCCATGATAATTCTCCTCTTCAGGGGCAAGTGACAGAGATTTTAATTACTGTCATAATGTTTTTGCACTTTTTTTGACAGTCATATTAAGGGGAAAACTGTTTACAAATCAGCAAAACTTTTAACTTTTAATTTAAATATGCGAGGCAGAGCTTTTTAATAACTTGTCCCCTTCAAAATATTATGAAGAGTTGGCCCTCAGGTCAGATATAACCACACCAAACTGAAAGAACCTGTTCTCCGGTTATCTACACTGTCATTTTCAAAAGTATAATATCAGCCCCTTAACAGCGAAGTTAAATCCACATAGCTGAGATTAAAACATCTCTGATGATCATGTCAAAGCATTTCATCTTTTTGCAGTGAGGCTTTGGAACAGTTATGATGAACCTCACATCAAAAAAAAAAAAAAAAAAAAAAAAAAAAAAAAAAAGATAGGAGAATTTTCTGAAATAATAGAAGTTCATTCTGCCTCAGTTGTAATTAGTCAGCTTAGACATTTTAGCTTTTCTGACAGCCCCCTCTCTCCTGTCACACTTTCGGCTAAAACTAATGCATATCATTACATTTCCCCATAGAAAGGACCCACTAAGTGCTACTGAATTGTACTTGTGACCATGATGTTTCTATGAAGGATCTGCAATGCAATGAACGTTGTTTATCTAGCAGGTGGATGTGACGTCACGGACTTGGAACATCAAAACAACAACATCCAAATCCGCGATTCTTCCTTTTTTTCCCCTTCTTTTCTCGGCGTGTTAAAATCTAATAACAACATTAAGAAAGGAGCTCGTGCCTCTCCTTGCGAGACAGACCGGGAGGCAGCGAGTGTGAAACTCCATATTTTGCTCCCTTTTCGACGCCCTCGGTAAGATTATCTCTTTCTCTCTTTCTCTGTAGTTAAGTTAGTTAGTTAGTCCCCCCACCTCCACCACTACGACCTCGCCACCCAATACCAAGGCGGGCGGGGTAATAGGCGATATTGTTGGTGTTTACTGTGTGATTTGTACACAATCTCGCGTGCACGGGTTCGTCTCATACTAGCGAATCGGTACCCTCCGCGTGCGCCTGCTAGCTGCTGTAAAGCGTTTTCCATTCCGGTAAGTTTCACTATTATCATAATGTTAACATTAGCTTTGTTGTATCGTATCTAGATACTTGCTGCTGCTGCTGCTGCTGCTGCTGCTCTCAAACACACGCACACACACACAGAGTTTGTCAACGGCTTCTGGTGCTGTTTTCTATAATTGTTACAAATAGCGAAATAAACAAATATACAAACACCTGTGTTACTGTCACGTAGGGTGGCTGCTAGCCCTGTTTAGTGTGGCTGTAACGAGCGGTTGTTTCAAGTGTGTAACTACGAGTGGTGTATCTACTTTTTTTTTTGAAAGTTCGGTTTCTAACTTAGTTGAGGCTACTCATGAGACCCCGGGGGGAAATGCACCTTTGGGGAAACAACATTTTCACAATTAATACTAGATGTTTATAAAGTGCTGATTGGCAACAGCTGTTGTCAGTGCGTAATTACAGCGTTACCCGTTGAGGATAACGGCGTAAAAGTTTTTAACTTTACAATGCGAAAAGGAAGTTTTGAATGCCGTGATTTCTTTGGAGTAAGACCAGGGTAAGAGCTTTTCCCCACGTGTTAGCTGTCCTCCAAACTCCGAAAGACCGGAGGAAGGCATTACGACTGCCCAAACTGTACTTTTTATAACTGTAATGTCACCTCAGCTCATAAGTAGGGCTACTTTTATTTGTCATGTCCATCATTGGCGTTATTGAAGGCTTTTGTTTTGGCGTGGCTTGTCTGCTCAGCGATAAGTACTGCACACAATACATTTAAAGCGGATATTCACCTCATAGTTAACTTTTCATTAACACAAAGGATTTAGTAAATGAGATTTTAATTATAGTTTTAATAACGTTAAGTCACACCCCAGCACTAAAAGTTTTTAGCATTGTGTTTTATTTAGGCTACCTGTATTTTTGGTTTGCTCAAAGTTTGAAGTTAGTGGTTTTATTGAGTCAGATGTGATGTGGGTTACACTTGGACATGGTCATAACTGTAAATAGGCTGAACAGCATTGTTTTTATCACTTGTGAAAAATTGTTAATTTTTTTTTAAATGAACAATTAGGCTACCTGTTGTTCCTATACCTTGTAAATTGAGTAAATTGTTTCTCTTTTTCTTTCTTCATGCTATTCTAATGCGCTGTTCAAATGTAAGCAAAAATAGTTTGCTAAGTAAGCATATATTCAAAAATACTTAAGAAATGTTCCATGTTTTAATTAGCATTTTAAAGCAGGTGTATTACGGCCAAATGGACACCAGCAACGCACATGATGATACATTTTACTGTGAAGCTTTTAAATATATACTTATTATAAAGAAACATCTCATTTACTTAATCTACACATATTTATTATTAATTTGTAAAGTAAGACAGAATTAGTATTTTGTAAAAATTTTTATAAAAGGAGACATAATAACGTTGGTGTATTGAGAGTGAGTAGCATACATGTAAGAAGGAAATATTACCCTAATATTTTATACAGTAAGTCGGCAGCTGGCAACAGCAGGACTAAAACCATCTGAAAATTTACAAAAGGGAAACTGCAGCTTTAACAACTATTGCTGGCAGTGCTCCCTCCTTCTTGGTCTTTGGATTAGTCATTGTCTGAGGGGAAAAAAACACTTTTTTGTAGGAGAAGTAAAGTAAACAGCCTCCAACAAGCGAACCTTGACAACCCAGATTAAGGAAAACATTGGAGATCAAACAGTGCTGCTGCTGGGCTGTTGTCATGAGCTGCCTGAGAGAGAGCTGCAGACTATTTGAACAGGCACTGGGGTTTGTGTGCTCACTTATGCAGAAATGGACCTTCGCAAATGCTGACCCAGGTTTTAAAACACAGGATGAACTTTCTTTGCAACTTTTCCAGGCTCGCTGTTTGACACGGCTATTACCTACAGACATTCAGCCTTCATCTGATCCTGATGGGAACAACCTAACACCGTCCCCCGCGTCTGCCTCTAGAAACTAGAATGACCGTAGTTTCTCTGCCCCATACTACATCTGAATAAATTGAGTTGGCAGGGAGGAAAGTGAAAAAAAGCTTGAAATTTGAGGAAGAGCAGCTGTGTGCATTGTAATGATGCAAGATCCTTTACGCACCAATCTGTGATTTTGTATTATTTGGAAAGCCCTTGTTTCTAGTTTGGCCTCTTCAGGCTCGGGCTAAGGCTCTTCTTTGTGGAGAGTTGAGGTTCAACTGGTAAGAAAGTAATCAGTCACTCATGCATTCAGTGTGAGGACTCCCATCCCTGAGTGGAGCGGCCCTCTCTTTCATCTGACGGCTCAGTATTTGTGAACACACATTGAAATACCCTGTGCTGGGTACGGAAGGGCTGTAAACTGACTGTGCACCCTTGCTTGCAGCTGAATGATAAGGAGAGTTATTTTCGGTCCAGTGTGGGAATAAGGTTCTGCATTTGCTGCATTTTTTTTCTTTCACATTTATTTGCTGGCGTCACTCTTCATTTGATTTCAGATACAAGACGCCCTCAAACCAGTTGCTTGAAACAGTTTTGCACAAAGCAAGACAAGTGACAGATGAATAAAGGGAATTTTCTGGTAAATGAATTTGTCATGTGATTTTTGCATGTTTGATTCACACAACACAAAGGGGAAGAGTACAGGCAATATGAATATGAGGGCAGCGCACTCATTAGTGCTGTTTTACATGAATGGAAATGATAACAAAGGAAAGCAGAACAATATTTCCAGGGTAAAGGTTAGTGTGTCCCGGCCCCTGTGGCGTGCCCAGGCAGACGGTTCTCAATGCCAGGGAAGGCGATTGGTCAGAGAGTGGACAGCTTCAGGTGAGCTCTGTGCAGCTCCTCAGTCTCTACGGAGACTGCAAAATGCTTAGGACGGCCATTAACTCATGCAGTCATTAATTACTGTCTTCCACTGTCATCTGTCCTTAATAAAGGGAGCGATGCTGACAAAAAATGTCATACGTCTGCATGGGGAGAGAGGGAGCGTGCAATTACAATCAATTAACTTGAGTTACAAAATGAATTTACTGCTGGTGTTGTGTTTCTGGAATACACTACAACACTGGAATACAGATTGTCCATGGTTGTAAAATACCAAAGTATCTACTCTATCTGTCAAGTTAGTGTATTAGATAATTATTGGTTTGCTTATTTTAGATTAATGTAGTATTTTAAATTTGATAAAAAAAACCTGTTTTACATATAGTTAGTTTTGGATTAGACTCAATGGGCTGCATAACATTTTGCAACAACTTCTACAATTTCAATAGATATTCAACAAGCAAATGATACCCGCGAAAATATTTTGCCTGGTCCCTTAACATTGATTATACATGCAAATCAAGAGTAAAATCACCCCATATTACCTTGTATTTGGATCTAAGTAAATTGTGTTTTGTATAAATACTCCTCCGGCACTTGAGAACTCAGCAGGAAAGAGATGATTTTACTGAGTGTATTGCTGATGGACTCTTCTCAAAGGAGATAAAGAAAGGTTTGGAACAAAAGATAAAAAATTTAAGGGAGTTGGCATTGCACTGTGCTGTGGTTTGCAATGAGATTTGACACCTTTAGTAGAGAGTACAGTGGAACACCGAAAGCTAATCAGTTTTCACTTTTTAACAAGATGTTTACATTGAGTTTCTTCCATCTTTTGTATGCAGACATAGGTAGTCATATTAATTAAATGAGATAAACAAGACCTGGTCAATTCAGAAAATGGATATCTCATTAATAAGATGATTTGTGTTGCGGATAGACTAAGTGCTAGTTTAATTTTTGTCTTTGTTTTAAGCTGTTCAAATGGTTAGGATTAAAAACAACCTAATCACTGTATTTTTAATATGATTTCTGGTTCTCGTCCTGAGTGAGTGCAAGAGCCTCTTAATATGCAATAACTTCAAATCTGAGTTTCTTTAACAGCACAACACTGGTATGTTTTGGGAATGATGCAGGTAAGCTACAAACATTTTCGTCCAGACATGAGGGGCTCAACCATATGCTGCAAGCTGTGCTCAGCTGCCAGGCGAAACCTTAGCACCTGTTTCTATCAGCTGTCCAGTCTGTATGTCGGTCTGCGTTTGTTTATGATGTGGCTTCGATGGCCTGGTGGATGACATAGCTTTCGTTATTAGGGAATTTCAAATATGCATGTGATACATAACATGAGAAACTCACATATTTTGTTTTTCTTTCCAGGGCAACATGGAAAGGAAGTGAAGTTGGTTGCTTTGGGAACAAGCTAAAGCCACGAGTGAAAGTTGATTACGTTGAACTGTAAGTGATTTTTCTCTCTATTTGAACTTATTTTCAAAAGTTTATGTTCAAACACCAAAAATATATCTCCTATCTCTTTCATTTGTCATCTAGACTCAAACTCACACAGTACACAGTATGAAGGGATGTAGATCCTGATAATACTTTTTTTGCACAACATTATAGTTTTCGTTAAGTAATTTTGCTTCCTGCCAATTTTGGAAAAGTTGATGTGGTCACTGCTGAGGTCCAGTGAACTCTAATGTTGGAATTAGGCTGTTCCTAAACTCTTATTGTGCTAAGCATGTTGAAAAGGACCACCACTGATCACTGGATGTGATATTAACCTGAAATAGACAATGTGACTTGAAAATGTAAGAACCACAATTCAGAAGTTTTTATTTGTAAAGCTTTAACTTGTTTTCTGTATATTTTGATGACAAGCTATGTGGTTTGATTTGTCAAACAAGTGTGGTTACATCTGTGATATATTTTGTCTTTGTGTATGGAGCTTTAGTTTCTAGTAGTGGCTCTTTCTCTGGCAGCTGTGGTGGCTGATCATGTTATCTATCCAGTTCTTCTGTTTATGCCAAACAAATCAGTGCTATGCTGCTGGAAGTCTTCACCAAAGTTTTTAGTGCTTAAAACCTATCCAAAACAGGATGATTGGAGCTTCAAAATAAAAGCTTTCATAATCTGGCTATAGGTTAAATCATTACTATGCTTTATCAGTGTGAGAATTAGAGTAGCAGGACTTACATTTACTAATATGAAAATGTCACAGACTACTACTTAATCCCTGTTAAGTGTAGTAGACAGTGTGATGTAAAGTAAGGTTGCTGGAGCAGATCTTTAAGGGCCTCATCCTTGACTTCTTGGCTGTGTTTTCAGTTGGCAGCCTCAGCCTAATAAGAAACATAACATGGCAGGGCCTGCTCTTCCATCATCATTGCTGGGTGGAAAGTTGGTGTGCTTTGATCATGTCTTTTGGGCGCATCACTCCAGCTTAGCCTGCTGCTCGCTATGTGATAAGCCATCAGAGTACTCAGATCTGAGCCGGCAGCTCCGTGGGCTCGAGGAGAGACAGGAGAGAGTAATGGAGATGAGGAGAGAGCAGCAATGCAAATTTTGTTGACAGACTGTTACTGCAGCTGTTCCCTTCGCTTTTGAATTCAACAATGTTACTGTCCCTCTCCATTCGTCTGTGAAGAAAAGGCCATGTTTCATTTTTAAGTCCTTTCTTGATGGAACAGAACTGTTCCCATGTTGTACATTTTGCCCTGTTACTAATTAAAACAACCTTAATTAGAGGTGCATATTAATTGCCTCAAAAACACGTGTGATTTAATCATTTTACAAACTGTTATGTTCAGATGTGCTCTTAACTGCGTTTAACTTTGAAGCTCAATGCTCCGGTTTCTCACTAGCTTTCCTCTGTCTGTACATAAAACATCATCCTGAACCCCCCATTATGAAAGGGTGCTCCTAATTGACGGGTTGTTGCTTGTTTATTTGATATATATTTACCAGCTGGGTGGTAATTGGGAAGCAGTAATTACCCAAGATGCAGTGCAGCGCTTCAGCAGTGGTGCTACCACGCTGATGAGTCTGGAGCACAGATGAAAGTATGTAGGTAACTATTATCGTCCTTGCCGGCTGTTTAAACACTTGACAGCGGAGAGCAGAGATGGCTAATTGGGCCTGTGTCCCTTCTACAGTCTCATTGTTTACTGTGATGATGTACAGCGGGATATCAAACGCGTGATGCTTTTATGTTTGTTCCTTTCTTGGTGCAGTTGTTACCTGTAGCCGTTAATAGCAACATTAAAAAGGCCAGTGGAGGTAAGGGTCTCGTGGATTTGGAGTCTCTCCTGATGTTGTAGTTCCTTCACTGATAACAGCCTTGTTAACTGAGATTCATTGCCTCTTCAGTCCCCTGGATATTGAGGGAGAGTGTTCTCAAACTACTGGGTTTGCCATGGTGAAGTCATACTGATGTGGTTTGGTGAGCTATTCATGGAAGGTGGTGACGGTATCTTCCCTGACTCCTGATGATTCAGTTGACCTGAGACTGGGGTGGTGGGGGTGGTATTTGACTTTGTTTGCCACTCAATTCCACTTTCACACCAACTCTCGCTTTCTTTCTCTCTCTCTCTCATGTTCTCTCCCTCCGCTCATCCTCTCTCTCTCTCTCTCTCTCTCTCTCTCTCTCTGTCTCTCTGTCTCTGTCTCTCTCACAGACACTTTCTCTCACTCTCCAATTCGCTCCCTCAAACATACAGAGATGCACACCTTGTTTGTGTGCAGACTGCTGTTGTTTGATAGCCCGCTCTCCCAGTAGATCTTCAGACGTTGTTGTTGTTTGCCTGTATTGGTTGGAGTGTGTGACTTGCATTTGCCCGGGCTCCTTGGAGGGAGTTTGTTTTTGTTCTTTCTGTTGTAAACAGGGTGGGGCTCCATTCCCAAACCACTCAGTTGGAGATGGTTATTTTCACAGGAGTTATTTTTTTGTTCATCATTTCGGTCAATAGATTAGCTTTGGATGGAACTATGTGTTTAAGCAGATAGTGTGGCTAACCATTTGCTGCATGTGCTGAGTAGATAAACACTTTGTCACTGTTGTTTTTGTGATTAAAGAAGCACTCTGATTTGGCTTTGTTGATATTTATAACTCTTGCCTTTCCTTGTGATTATGTTGCTAGAGTTTTCATTTTAGAATTAAAAGAAAAAATTTGCAACACATGGTGTAATTTTGCAAAACAACCTAATTTACAGTCATTATGGTAATATTTTAACAAATTATTTTGAATTATTTTTCTACACATCAGCAACAATATAGTGCTTCATTTATTTGTTCTTCTTCATCACCATATTCATTTTGTTCAGGTAGGTGTAAACGTAGATTTTGGACATTGGGGGATAATAGTGACCTTACTGTTCACATTTATAACTAATCTACTAGATAACATTTGCTGCTTTCAGTCGTCAAGGGGTGAGGTTATGACAGTAATGTTCTGACTGACTTTACTCACAAGTCTTTTTGCCAGAGGAAAAGAATGCAGTTATTTTCAAATGTTGTTTTATCAGAAGCCGTTTCATTATTAAGATTTTAGTTAAATGCCAAAAAGGCCATAATAAATTCAAATCCCAGCCCAGTTTCCAAACATCAGTTTTGTTCGTTATAGCCAATTGGCTGAACACATCCCTGGCTAGGAATGGCTATGGCTAGGGATTGTCCTCTTGCAGCCCGCTAGTTTGTTAATAGCACGCACTAGTTAAATCATGGTACAGAGCGCCAAGCCCGATGACGGGAGTACTGCAACTTCAATTTTTTTGTTATAATATTTGGATTTATCTAGTATTTGCAGCCTGCAGAGTATTTTGGGGCTCATGTTTATCAAGTAAGCGTTAAGTTGAGATCCACACAAAGATCCTTGTCAGGTGTGACACATCTGTGGCTTTCACATATTGGTTCAGCATCAGAGGCTGCGGATGTGTGTAAAGTCCCTTTTAGACGGGAGACAACAGCCGCAGAGGCTGCCGCTGATCCTGCAAAGGTCTCACCAGAGTCGTACAGCAGCAAGCACAGCGGTCTGCTGGGTGAAGTGCAGTAAACAGCGAGTTTGAAATGGTCAGCAGCAGAAGCTGGGAAAATTTGTGCTCTGCTATGTGAGTGGGAAACGTGTCCCCCTGCTGTGGCACTACTGCAAAGTTACTGTCAGGATCTCACTGCAATGAATAGAGGTGTGGGAAGTGGCTGTGTGTGCTGTGCTCGTACAGCCAGTCAATCCTCACATGAGCTCTAAGATCAACAATCTATACGATCATATAAGATAAAGCGTTTGGTTTATTTCTGCATTATGTACAACAATGCAGCAGTAGTTTTTGTTTCAGTAACTCAATGAGAGGGAAATAAGTGTGTTATGTGGGGAAGATATTTTAACCCGAACATATACATGTCTCACTTGTCTCTCCTCTGTACAATGCAAAACTCACTATCATTAGTAAACCTACTAAATGCAGTTTTTAGTCCCAGACACCAGCTGCTTGAGTGCAGCAATTTTCTCAACCATATATTTATAGAAAAAAACATAAACTTAAAACTTCAGTGACAAAAGGTGAATGGTTATAAATCCATCTTAGCTGCAAGATTTATCAAATTAAAACTGTTTTGTCAATTCACCTCAAGTGCAGTTTGAATGATTATAGGAGGTTCTCAGCAGCATTTTGTGCAATGACCAAGTACTGTTGATATGCTACTGTTTTATAAGAGCAATGTGCCCCACGTCTCGACAGTAAACACACACACACACACACACACACACACACACACACACACACACACACACACACACACACACACAGGTAGTCAGTATAACAACAGGCATATAGCTTAAATGTGACCTGTGAAGTTGATGTTGTAATATAGGATAGATCTTGTGTGATGAGCTTTTGTACAAACATGCACATAAGCTGTTAAATATCTGTTTCATAACCAGCACTCGCACCTAATCGAACGGGTTAATGCTGACTTATAATGCTGACTTCGTGACCCCAATACTGCTCGGCTTTCTTGTGAATGGGTGAATGCTCATTTATATTAGGAATGGAAATTTTGTTTAATGTTTTTGTGGCTTACAAGACATTTTTGTAAGTGACTACCAGTCTAAAAAAAGAACCAAGATAAAGCCAGAGAGAGAGCAAGAGAAAGAGTGTATGAGTGGGTGAGCAAGAGGGAGAAACTAAACTGGAACTGAAACTTTATTTAGTACTTATTTTGTTCCAGGTACTAGAGTAAAAAGCATGAGAAAAAGTCTAATTCTGTCCTTTAGCAGTGATGTGAATAGACTGTGTCTCTGTGATCGACGATGACAACCAGAGGTTAACTCCGTTTCAGCAGTGGCTTATGTATGGCTCATACACGGGTTTGTGAATAAACCCAGGACCCACGTTCTAATTATTCTCCTATTTATGGTTGGCAAATTTTAGAATATGAATTCTTGTTATAGCTGAAATTATTT